CGTTCTGCCTATCTATACTGTCATCCCACGCCTTATTCACTATACTGTTCACTGCCCAGTTGCGACTACCGAACAAGTGCAGGTGAAGTTCGCAGAATTCGGTTTCGCCTTATTACTTACTGACTATCTGTCGATGAATAAGACTACGAGCTACCTGTCAGATAGGAAACCTAGATTTTGCGTTTAGGCTAATTAATCCCTTGTTTTTTAATTATTACTGACCATCCGTCGATGAATAAGACTACGAGCTACCTGTCAGATAGGAAACCTAGATTTTGCGTTTAGGCTAATTAATCAGTCCCTTGTTTTGAGATCACGGCCTTAGCACAGGATAGTACAATGACCAAGTAAATTTAATACACTGATAGCTGTGCTTTGCGATAGAAACATGAAAAATAGTTTTGTCGTTTTGTTTCTACAAATACTGACGCTTACTTTCTCGTTGCAGCGATAAGGTCCTACTTTATCTTGCCGCACCACGTATACCTGAGACGCTTATTCCAATTAGTAATCCTGTGCGTTGTTCTCGCGTTTGTAGACGAGGACTATTCTCAGAATATTCATAAAGTTTATAGACGATCTTCGGCGGCTCACGACCGGTTTTGCCCCTCTTAGGCCCCATCAGGGAGGCACAGCTCTCGAGTTTCCCAAAAAAGCACATCTTTCTACGGGGGATTTCGCTGGGATTTATGTGAGTTGACCACGAAAACCAAATTGGCATGCAAATGAGTGCAGTCCGCAAATGTCCTACAATTTAAGTCCACGTAGAACACAAGGTTAACGAAAAATCTGGGACCACGTCTGCCTGATGAGCCCGAGAATTGCGAAATTATTCATCAGTAGCCGAAGAGCATTCACCGGCCTTGTGAGTAGTGTAGTACGCCTATACAATGTATTGCAATAATGGCGTACAGTACCAGCTTGAAATTGAGGCGGCCTAATGCAGTACATTCAATGGAAGAACATCATCAACGGGAGACTTAACTGGTATTCCGATGGGTCTCCTGTGAAAACCACATTGGCACGCAATTGGGTGCATTTCGCTTAAGTGCTGCTCCACTCCCTCGAGTTTAATTTGTTATTGAGGGAGTACACGGGCACTCATATGCTTAATTTACAGACCACGTCAGTCTCTGATCTCATTTGCAATGGGACACAGATGCCTCATATTTCACAAGCTAAAACTTATCAAATGCTTAATTTTTTTAATTTTAAAGTAAGCTGTTCTCCAATTTTAGAAAATAAGGACTTTTGGTACGGACGCAATGACAGCTCAGTTGAAACAGCGAAAACCGCTTTCACTGGTGGTATTATTTTGTGTTAATTCCAAAGGTAATTTGTGAAGTCCTCCCATAGACCATATTATCCATCTTTCGAGGGATGTTTCATCACACAGCGTCCAGTGAATTCGAGCAAGAAGCCTTATACTTCAATTGTAATCACTTTCGAACGATTTTTGCAAACTCCGTGAAGTGCACAAACATAATCCCGGCACTCAAAGAGCAAACGGTTAAAGGTTGGACAGCGGTGAGTACTTGAGGCGAGCATAGAGTGGTTTAGTATGGGAACAATGCCAAAATCAGAATGAATAAATGTAAACGAATGTCCTGTCGAACCGGTTTGCTTGCCACCGAGACCGGTTAACCTCGTACATTTAAAAGTTTTGGAGGCATTCACTTCGCCCTACTAAAGGCCTACTTATTGTGAGGGGTGCGAGGCAATTGCGTGCAGTTATTCTGTAAAAACCGCCCTCCTTTGATTATCCTTTTATGTCGGTACTAAGAATCTCTGAAATCTTGGGCGTTATCCCTCCCGATTTGGAGTCAGATCCACTCAACGGATTCATGGTACGTTGTGCATCCAACTTGACACTCTTAGTTTCCTATGGTGAAGAATATAGGGGAAAAGCAGGTAGGCTCACATATTGGGGCCTGGGAGTGCAGTTCATATCAACCACCATGGATGCTATGTGTCTTGTTTTTCTATTTTTGGAGGCCAAACTTTGTTTGCGGTAACCAGGAGACAAATACGATTTTCGCAGGAAATCTCTGACAAGTGACAATGCAGTGTCTGAAAACTGAAGCGATGTCACTTCAGTTGTGTCTGGGAGTTTTGCGCACAGAGGAGTCCGTAATGACTCTTGAAGATAATGGGGGTAGTATAAATAGCGGCCCACCGTTTCGTTAGCTTATAATTCCCTCCAACCGTCAAACTGGCAGCAACCTACGTTGGCTCACTGGGATTTGACGAGAACATTTGTGAAATACAGAGTCGAAATGCTCACAAGTACCGCATGACAGCATTGTGTTCATGAAAGTTTTTACTCGTAGTACGGTTTTTTTATTTAAATGCTTACTTAAATGCTTTCTACTTAAATGCGCTTACGCTTGGAAAAATCTCGTTGCTTTTTTGTTACACTTACGATGGATATAGCACTCCTGGTAGGCTGGCGCACAAGAACTTACGTCTACCGGATAAATACTGATTAGTTCTACGAATACTCACACATACATGCATCTGACTAAATGCATCACACTTTCGATGACGCTAGACTGAAACAGTCGCTCTGTCACTGAATGCCGTGTCCGAGATTAGGCTTTTCATTGTTGGTAATTAACACAGCCAAGTCAGCCAGATTACTTGGTTCCTGGTTCTTGAATCGTTAGCTAGTCCAGCAATAATACAGTCTGATTCGCGAGTACTTACTGGATGTTTCAACATTCTAGACATATTTGTCTGTTGGAATCTACACCTTAAACTGCGATCCAATATGTTTTTGTTCGCTGAACTCTCGTATAAGTTCCCTTTGGAAATAAATTTATCTGGCATTCAATGGTTGTTTTTTCTGCTTGAGAAACACATTGGTCGCGTAACAGTATGCGTGGCTAATCACAATTCGTACACTCATCTGTGAACATCTTACCTTTACGATTAACCACCTAATACGCGCTAGTTTTTAATGATTGTTGTTGCTCCAAAGGCCTGCAAACGATAGCACGGGCAGCTACAATCAATGATGTGTTTTACAAATCAATTTATCTCCATTGATGGACACAAATACTTCGTTCGGAGTTCTTTATCCACGTACCTGTCTCAAACACCTTCTTTTGTAACATTTACATTAACTAGTATCTCCACATAGGAACCGATTCATACCAACAACTTTGTTTACCTTATCTTTAACAGAAGTTTAGATGGCATTCACATTCGAAGAGGAACAACACGGAAACCAGTGCGGCTAACTTAGAAAGCGTCACAGACACATCGCAGGAGTAAACAAGCATAAAAGAATCAACCACCAGTTGTCTGTCTGTCTTGGTTGGCGGAATTGGCGGAGAACCTCGAAATTTATCGTAAAATAGTATGCAGACAAGGTGAATATGATTTCTGCGTCACCGAAAGGAATTATGATCTTTAAAACCTGACCGAGATATTTGATGGCGCCTGTTCCAAACTGAGGTTTAACAATACGAGAAGGGAGTTGAGTCCCGGTACTTTGCCAAAATGCTATCAAGTCGTTAGTCATAAGCATTGCGCCCAACCAGTGGACCAAAAGAATATTGTATCGGTGATCGTTCATTGACGTTTTTGATCCGCCGAAGGAAGCGAATTCCTCATGAGGTTTTCTGAGCGCTTGCTATGATGCTTAATCGACCGTTCATGAAACTGGGCGGTAACATTCTCCCCTTGGTTTGTTTGAAGCCAAACAATGGTCTGTAATGTTACATAATGTTAGCGGTTTAGGTTTAGTTTTGAGCGGCTCTACAAACATGAAAGCACGACGAGCGCCCTTCTATGTAGTCACGTTGTATGGATCCCGGTGCGCAAGCTTGTGCCTAACCGACAAAGACCGTTCAATTTGATTAGTTAAACAAAAACTAATCAGAGATCGTCCAGTTCATGGTCGGTGTTGGACTATATTTTCGAGGTCACTTGTTGGGGAAATTAAGTGAATTTAATCCAAGCCACCCTGCGTCATTTAGGTATGACACTAAATTGTTAGTTTCGCTGGAGGCCTCCTTGTTAGCTTCACGTGCCTCGCCCTCATCCCTTATCTCCCAGATTAACCCTTATCGACATTTGAGCTCCCACGTTTCAGTCCCGCTAGGTCTACTATATGAAACACACCATCATGTTCATACCCCACTTCCTTTCCGGCACTCTACATTTACACTCAGAGGTTCACCAGATCAGAGTTATTCGCTCGTCACCTTAACCGCCAACCAACCCTTGCTTGATCACAGCATGACCCCGCAAACTGGATACATCATTTATATTCGTGACGCACCACTCATAAGTTTGCTGAAAAATTTTCCCCACGACCAATAAGTTTGCTGAAAAATTTTCGTCAGCCCACGACCAGTTTTGCCCTTCTTGGGGCTCATCAGGTAGGCATCATCCTCAGGTGTGGATTACCAGCCTTTGTTCTTGCGTTCGAAAATGGGGTCAACTTTGAGTTTGTGGCATCCAGTTATAGTTTGGAATAAAAAATCATAATTTCAGATGCATCTAGTAATTAAAAGACCATTCGGCTTTTCAGACCAACCACAGGCTTTTTCCTAGTTTATCGAGGTAAGCGGCTGGCGGATGCCGGCTCCCCATCATCGATCTCTTGAATCCACCTGCAGTAAGTTTTGTAGGCATGACTTCTGTTTACCAAACTTCTACTCCTCAAAGCCAGTTCAGAGAGCGCCTCAAGCGTTTCGGTCTGTTTGGTGGTGTTCACCAACAACTTATCGCCCCCTGCTCTACCCAGCAGTTTCTCACCCTTCACCTTACTGCAGAACCGATTTATTCATATCACCTAGAGTTCACCCATTTTTTAATCCTCACAAACGTGTGAGCAGCACGGCTGAGCTGTTCTTGATACGAACCAGCTTAGAACTTAGAGATATACTACATCCTGCTGCCCCAAGAAAAAACAATTATTAGTCCACATTCAAAAAGAACGCATCATCACGATACCATCTTTTCTGTCCTTTACTATAAGCGGCTGGTGGATGCCGGCTCCCCATCATCGATCTCTTGAATCCACCTGCAGTAAGTTTTGTAGGCATGACCTCTGTTCACCGAACTTCTACTCCTCAAAGCCAGTTCAGAGAGCGCCTCAAGCGATTTCGGTCTGTTTGGTGGTGTTCACCAACAACTTATCGCCCCCTTACCTACCCAGCAGTTTCTCACCCTTCACCTTACTGCAGAATTTTCCAATCCAAACGGACCCACGTAATTAAATTTGTAAATCAGTTTCGCCCCCTGCTCTACCCAGCAGTTTCTCACCCTTCACCTTACTGCAGAATTTTCCAATCCAAACGGACCCACGTAATAAATTTGTAAATCAGTTGGTTTCGCCCCACAGAATGGAGCTTATTCCTTGGCTTCCAACCCCCGATGCTGCACGTGATTTGTCGACTCTCACGTCTCAATCGAATGCTTGACCCTAAGAATCAGCAGCTTGTAGATTGTCCCCAGTAGCACAGTGTGCAGTTTGTTGTTTAGTTATGGAGTCAGCTGAAGCGACAAGCGCCGCACCGTCAATCTGATATGGGTTCTTTTGCAGATGCGGTAACGCTCGTCCGGACTGCAACCACTTGGAAACCGTGATTCTGTAGCAAGTTTGCGACTCTTATGCGACTAATATTCAATGATACAAACGCACCTTCCCCTTTTACCCGCGTTTGCCTAAATATCCTCAACCTGTGACTAAACAGACAATTGCTCGCCTATACTCACCTCGTGGACTTGGTTCTGGGGACTATAGCGCTAACTTGCTGGGACATGCAGGTGGACCTTGAGTCCGTGTAATTTCATAAAACACAAAATGAGCGCTTTTCCTTGTTTCCACCAAACAGATATTCTACAAGCTGAAAGCATCCACATCGTGGAAGATAACTCCTCTTTGTAGGAACTATATAATTTACTCTTTAACCGACCGCTGAAAATTCGATGTTGGACAAAATTCTGTGGCGCCGGTTTTTCTCCCACAGCCAACTAACAAGCCGTCGGTCCACATGAAACACAAAACAGTAGGCTGGTGAAAATCGATCCGGGCTGTCGCATGGCATCCAAGCAATAGCTTGCTATGTCGTTTAGTATCACCCTGACCGGGTGATTGGGGTCCATGTTACGGTAGTCTGAACAGAAAACCAAGGACGCGCCTCTTCTTGAGCATTTTAGTGTACACCCACAATGCATCAAAACATTTTCCTTGTAATCATCTTTTATTGTACCGACCGAATCCGCACACCGAATCAAGGCCACGGTACATATTTCCACCCTCCATTTATGTGTGCGTAATTATACACACACAAAAAACTTTTATCCCGGGTCGATTGCCACGAACCCAAGCTCTTGGCGCACCTTGGACAGCACTGAGTGACCAAAATTAGCATTTTCGCTGCCACAATAAGAATGGATTTCAGTAAAGGATGCAAGAGCTAGAGTCGAGTTTATCACCTCCAAGTCTTCAATTTTGGCGGACGAAGACCAGCACATAACCTCCGCAGAAAGGAGTAACAGTTAGCAACACGGAATATCTCTTCGTCAGTTATTCTTACAAGTAGGTAAAAAGCTGTATTTTTGAGTCCTTTCTAACGGACAGCGAAACTGTGTAGTATGGGTTCCGTATGAGCGGTAAATTCACATTTCGATTGCTTGTAAAAGATATGATATTCTAGAAAGGTTCGGTCGGTGTTGGATAGCCTTGGCTATGTAAGCAACGACCAGCGGCAATTTTCGCCAACACCCTAAGGAAGGATAGTTTAACCCGCCCGTAGCATGCCAGCGATAATTTTTTCTTATGAGTGAACCGCTCCACCTTCAAGCAGCATTTAGAGGGGAAACCATCCGTCGTTTTTGAAACTCAGGTTCAGTATTTTGCTTGCCCACATCTCTCTAAAAGCCGAGGCCTCGGACAATGTGTTTTGCAGACAAATATATCTCTCAGTCGTGGCCGATCGCGTCATCATTTGACAAGTACTGGACTGCAAAACAAATTATCCAGACATAAAAAGTGTACGCACTGGCCAGAACACTGATTATTGCCCCGTAAGATCCCCATTAGTCCTCAACTTCCGATCGCTGGAAGGTGAAAGACACTGAGCGGTTATATCGGAAAATATCAACCGATTATGTGTTCCCAGGACACTGAAGAAACCGTCTGTGGGCTAACGACATGTCATTCTCAATTCTGCCGAAGTATCTGCGAAGTGTGAAATTGCAATGGGGAAAATCCACTTTTGCGCTACAGATTTCTCCGAGCGCAGTCGATGTGTTTGGTGCAAAAATAGTGAACGACGACTGCTTGACCGGATCCGGCCGGAGGACGCAGAACCCGTTATCACTGAAACCTGCAGTGCGCTCAGCTCCGCAGCTTACCAGTTCCGAATTTCTAAACCGTCCATATTTCGCCCGATACTGGTGCGCCTTACGAGCGAAAATTCTCCACGTCTCCTGACCTATTGGGCCACGGTCTAGTAATTTGAAACGTCAAGTATTAATGCCATACAGTGGAAAAATTAACTGGAAGTGTACTTTGTTATCCCCAAGCGTTGAAAACATGAAGTTCCCAAAAGGAACTTTTTTATTTCCTCAGCCAAGCGAAGTGTGACGTAGGTCCGTGAGATGTCGAGTACTCCAGAGGGACAAACAGTTCAAGGTTGCACCCCCCCCCATCAACAAAGAATAAGACTGCTTTATTGCACAGTCTCTTTCGTTTTCGCAGGTGATATAATATTTACATATGAGCTAAAGTTGTACGAATTCGAATGGCTTTCTGGACAACTTAATTGCAACCTTCCTATAATTGCTCAATCAAGAAAACAGCTTCAGGAACAGTGTTGTATGTGCGAGACCAGGACTGAATCTGAAAAATGACATAGACTAACTTTTGGCCCAAACGAACGATGGTGATTACTATTCATGCATGTCAAGGCGGTTTACTGAAGTCCGATGTTTTGCAAAGAATATTTTTTTTTCGAGCTGACTCAAAACAAGGGAGGGCTGATGAGGTTGCTCTGTACTTGGGTGCGCCCCTACCAAGCCCGAGTGTCCTCTTTGATACCACTCCTGCATCTTTTTGCGATGCACTGTGGGTCTAAATCCCGCTGCGCGAGTCCGATTCTCTCCTTCTCATTGTGATCTACCGTAGCAACTCGGGTCCCCCTAAAGATGACCAGTTACTCATACGAACCCTTGAGCAACTCTCATCCAACTACCACTTCATTCATTTCCTGCTGGTAGGTGACTTCAACACCACAAAGGCCTCCTGGATGGAACTCCAGTGCGTCGAATTAGGTGGGCTTTTTGCAGTGGCGCTGATTGAAGTCGTTCGACAGAGCGCTTGGACTCAACATGCCACCAGATGCCGCGCAGGCCAACTGCCATCCCTCCTGGATTTGGTCATCACCAACGAAAGACACTTCGTTGATCAGGTAACAATTAACGACCCACTGGGACATAGCGACCACTGTGTGCCGACCTTTCAGTTCGTCTGCTATTGGGCCAGAAATCCCGAACCTCAATCGTGGCTTCGAGACTTCTACCGTGCAGACTTCTCAGGAATGCGCATCTCTTTTGAATAAGTCACACTGGGACCAGCTCCAGTGGGAAAGCTAAATAGGACCGCTTTTCCAGAAGGTTCACGAGGCTGACGCGATGTTCGTCACAAAAAACCAGTATGCACTCGGATGAACCTCAGGCTGCCAAAAAGGATTCGGCGTCTTCTGGAAAAGAGGTCCCAACTTTTTTTCAAAAATTCGGGTACAGGGCATACAGAAGCTGAGCTAGCATTTCGTCAGATACGGAGTCGCCGTAAATCAGACATCTGCCAATGGAACATACGAAAACAAGCTACCATTCTGGACCTTGCTCGAAAAAACAAAAAAGTCTTGTTCAAATGCATGAGACGTCGCCGCAGAAATGAGCCATCCGCGTTCTCCTTGAGGGACAAAAACGGAGAACCGACAAATAACCCAACAGTGGTATCTGGGGTTTAAAAAGAACACTACACGTGTCTATACTCAGCCCCAGCGTCCTCGTCACATCCATTGTTGTCAAGGCGTAACTCTGAGAGCTTCTAACCAACTTAGCCTTTACAGTGGAGGACATTCGCCAACTCTTGCACAAGATGGACTCAATCTGCGCGTTTGGGTCCGACGAGGTCCATCCAGGAATCCTGAAGGAAACGTCGCCCACAGTGGCGAATACTCTAGACCCAGTGTTTTGAAGGAAACGTCGCCCACAGTGGCGAATATTCTAGACCTAGTGTCTCGTCAGTCGCTTAAGGAAGGCCGCCTTCCCTCTGCATAGAATGAAACGATTGTCACGCCAAACTGCAACACTGGTGATCGACTATCGCCTGGCAGCTACAGGCCTATAAGCCTCACTAGCGTGCCGTGCAAGGTGATGGACCACCATACTTTTAGATCATGATATAGGCTTACTCAGTGTCGGGCCACAATTTTCCCAGTCGTGCTTGAAGTACCGGTCTAGAAACGCTCGATCGCGATGGCCCAAATTCTGACAAATCAGCTCTCGGTTTCGCTTGGCCCGAAGCTGGCCCCGATTTATCCGTTCGGCCGACGTGATATTCATGTGGGCCCGCTTTCGGACACCTCCTGCTCGAGAATGGCTATTTGACATATAACACCTCTGAACTCGCTTATCTGTCCGTCCCAGAGCAGTAATGATCTTAGATGTGGTATGGATGTATCTGTTTGTGTTCTGTTTGCATTCTCAAGCGAACTATCATAGATCACCTTACTTCCAGCAACCTGATATCTCCAGCTCAACACGGATATCTCCCAAACCGCTCTCGCGTGACAAACACGCTCGTGTTTATGGGCAGCTTAACCCAAACCAACGACGAAGGACTCATAAAAGATGCCAAATTTTCCGACTCCTCAAAAGCGTTTGATAAGGTCCCACACGTCGCGCTGCTCCACAAACTCGAGTCCTAAGGGATTCAAGGAAAAATCCTTCGCTGGATCAAGGCGTTCCTATCAGACAGATCATTCCGAGTGAGAATAGGCTCAACCTATTCCTCTAGTGACTTCCCAGATGTTTTTGCTAGTCCATGTCCACTTTTTGCGGGCGACTTGAAATCCTGGAGTTCCAATGCCAGTGCCCCCAAAATGGATGTAGACGCTGCCAAGCAGTGGTCGTTGGACTGGCACCTTCCTCTGAATGATGAAAAGTGCGTCCATATGTCGTTTGGAGGGGATTCAGCGAATGCCATTTTTATGCATGGCGAAAAGGGACCAGAAAACATCATGAGGATGGATGCCAATAAGGATTTGGGCATCTGGGTCTCCTCAAACTTGTCCTTCTCACTGCACCATGAGAAATCGGCCCAAAAGGCATTCGCCATTTTACGGATGATCCGACGCATCTTCTCCCGTATTACTCGCGTGGACTTCCAAATACTCTACGGGGCCTACGTAAGATCGCTCCTGGAATACGCCAACCAACGTGTCTACTGGGGACGCACGAAGGACGTCACCATCACTGAGTGTGTCCAGCGAGTCGCTACGAAAATTTTTGCCGGCCTCAACTCCGTGGACTACCATACCCGTCTTGCGATGCTTGACCTCTTTCCCCTGGAGTACCGTCGCCTCCGAGAAAACCTAATTCTTACTTATGCCCCGTTTGAACAAAGCTTGGCAAACAGGTTCTTTTTCCGTTGAACCAGCAAACACACGGCGGGGACATAGTAAGAACATTTTCAAGCTCAGAGAGCATACACTCGTTAGACACAATTCCTTTTCATTTCGGGTAGAGGCTGCGTGGAATGACCTCTGTTCGGGTAGTAGCTGCGTGGAATGGCCTCTGACGGTTGTCCACGCCCATTTTAGAACCCAGTTTAAAGCACTGAGACATTTATTTGTGCAAATCCTTGCACTGGCAAGCATACTGCTTCGCGCTGAAAACATAAAGAGCAGTGTTACACCCTTTCTTCATTTGTGCCTTTCAGGTGGACAACAGCCACTAACCGACAAGAACAAAACCGACCCGGGAAACTTAAGCACTAGCCCCGATCCTGTGAATCAATCCGTGAATCCGTAACTCCGTTACTAAAAAGGAACGTTGCAACTGCTACGAAGCCTTCGTGTGCTTACTCTCCTGTCCGACTGATTGGTCAACTTTAATGGATTGAATTTAACAGGCTGTTATTCGAAACGTTTTAAGGTGGCCCCCTTGCCGTGCATTCTGAACAACTATTCCCCAAGGCCATTCCGTATTCTGATGGGACCTAAGTTATTTGCTAAAAGCAAACAAATAAATCTAGGAGAGAAGCTATTAAGTCAGTCGCTTGATGGATGTGCTCAACCACCAAGGATCCACGCTCACTCTCAATGCAGTTTGACGTGCTGAACCTGTGGGAAAAGTCGCATCGGCGCTGAGGTAAATATGATGGCATGCGACAGCTAAACGAAACGGTGAAAATAAACTTCTTGATCAATTATTGCCAGGTAGTGAATGGCACATTATTCACAAGGACAAAACTCCGGATACAAAACCATCAGAAAACTAAGAGGTGGCGTTGTACTCACCGGACACGTCAAAATAGAATCCGGAGGGAGACATACGTCCCCAACCTCTTCGCAAAGCGGCGGGAATAAAATCGCTAGAATAGCGCTGGAGTGAACTGCATACCTGCGCATGTAACGAACAAGAGGCGGAAGGATTTTGCAAGAGTATACATTCGTTAGTTTCGTCATTCATATGAAGTGATCTCTACTGGTAACAGATGTGTCTGATAAAAATGCAGGGGTGCTGTCCAGCGGATAAAAATATTATAAGCAATACTGAGGGTTATCAAAGGCGCAGTAATCACTGCTTAAGTTTCGGAAACACAGAACAAAGTTTGAGAGTTTTTAGTATGAAAGAGCGTTCGACGTTGTGGAGGGAGGCATTACGACCATACTTGGAGCCCAACAAAGCGGGCAAATAACGGTGAGTGACCCTAACCAAAGGAAGGCGAGGGAAAGTAGAAGGCGAAAAAAGAAAGGAAAAAGGACGGATGGAATACAGGAAAAAATATTGTGGCTGGTTAGTCAATCATAAAATCAAAGAAAATCGGGTAGCACGTAGGACTGAAACACAAGCTAGGAAGCAGTCGCCAGTATCTCTGTTCGAATTTATCTGTCACCATTTGTCAGGCCCGGGTTAATAAGGGTGCCGAATGAATCGCACTCATCCGCGCGAGAAAAAGTGTATTTCGCGTAATGTTTGCTAACTCTGCAGCTGTAATACAAAAAACATGAAACAACGTGTGTGGTTAATGTGTGGACTGTGAACGACTTACCAAACCCCCTGGTTGATCACGGTTTCCACGACAAAAGAGCGTTTGGCTTCCTTGAGCACACCGGGCGTTTTAACAGACTTCTTCAGTTGCCTGTATCGGAGTTCAACACCGAAGACAAGTGATATTGGAAATATGCGTTCTGAAGACACAGGTGGTCTCTTCTTACGGGTGAGACTACTTGTTAACGCAAGTCACAAGCATCAATGCTTTTGCGCGGACTATCCCCACAACCAAGCACCATTCCGTTCTTGGTATTTGAGCACTTACCTTGGACCCGGAGCAAATGCCTTAGATCACAACCTACCCAGCTACGTGGAGGAATAATGACCACTGCGCAAAACTCTGCCCTGCCTAAACGACAGTCGTTCCTTATGTGTTGCCTGTAGCATCCAGGCGTTTACGCTCAGACCTAGAATACGGAGTTGGCCAAAATGTTTGCTGGCATTAATTTAGCTGATGTTGGTGTATTTCAGTTGGATTGCTCAATCACAACTGTACTACTTGACAAAATCATCTAGCACTTCTGACGAGATCACATCAGACTCGCCTGAAAACGAGCGAAGTTGTTGGCCTCTCTGAACGGCAGCCATCTGAAGCCTCCACTCGTTAATGCGGGTTCAACCGGCCGTGCTTCGCCACTTCGAAGGCTTCAGAGCCGAAAAAGACTTGTGAATGGATGATCATAAACGCAGAACCAGAAGAGTAATTTCCATCAAAGAAAACGAGCTACACCAGAACCGTGGTCACCCGATATTTCCGTACCCACAAATCACTCCGTCTTTTGTCTTGGAATGTTCGGCACCATAATCACACTTTCCAGTTCGACCAAACAAAATTTGAGCACTTTATTTCAAGTTCGAATTTACGTACATAATTTCGATTTGTCAGCGATGGGAACCCACTCACCAAGGGATGAGCATGTGGCCTGGTTTAACAGCTCAAATCAAACTCGTGAATCTCCTGGAAGAAAAATATTGGGGGGTGGGGTATTTCACCTCACCTTTCGTGTAGCCACTTTGGGGAATGTGAATATGGCGGAAGGTTTATGAGTCACCTTTAGATTAACAGCATGTTTGCCACCAGCACCACCGGCGCCCAAGTACACATGCCTGCATCACTGGTCATAAAACCTACGGAAGGGAGTTTCGTGAATGCGTAGTTAACATACTTAGTAGCAACAATACCCCGATGATATATACTGGCCTCTTACACGGTGCAACATACAAAGAACGCTACACAGCGGGACAGCTATGAAAGGACGTTGAAGTCTCTTGTCTCCGTGTTAAACAAACATTAATGTGGTCCCCATCAATCTGGACGACATGAAAGTCAACATAATTGAACTTCACCCTAAGCTGACGCATGATCGTTTAGTTGAGAATATCTTAAGTTTGTGTTTGACCCCAGCTTGACAGTTCTGCTTGAAAAAAGCATAGCCACTGATGGTGTTCGCTGCGCGTCCTGTGTTATGGGGTCTGCGGCCATTTCAGGAACGATTGGGAAAATCCCTGCCTGAGGGACGTAAAAGTTTCACAGCCATCTGCCTGACTTTAACCGCTTTCACCTTACACTGATGTGCCAAAATACCGCTTCTTTGAAAGCCGCACCCTATCGGTCGTTGGGGTGGCTTGACGCGGTAGACACACTAAGCCTGTAAGTTTGCTCTAGTGCTTCTCAAATCATGATGAGTTACTACGTACCTCACCACGTGTCGCTTTGTTCTTTACTCTCTGCGGCCAGCCGACCCTTTCCGAGCGCAAGAAACATCGGTAACCAAACATCTTAAGTGCTAAACATACTTGGATCCTAATTCTCGCGATAATAGAGTGAGACCCATACAGATATCCAGCACAATTCTTTGCCAGGGCCAAAAGTAAAGCCGTGCGACAAACGTTATCTGCTTCTTGAATGTGCTATCATCAACTACAGGTATCGTGGTAAAGTATGCTAATGAAGCTGCCATGATAAGTAAATTAACTGAGAGCGGTCGTGAATTTTGAAGTTTGTATAACGGTTGCGGCGCAAACCACTCACAAGTTTGGCAGACAAATTTATATCCAATACACATAACTTTAAAATGTGGCCGTTTGCACCGCATGCAAGAAAATAAAAACTATCCATTGCACTCGGGGGCGGACCTCTTAATGTTTTTGAAACCAGTAACCCTATAACGACCTACCTCAAACTTATATGCATCTTGTTGGGAAATTAGTTTTGGGAACCTTTTGTGAACACGATAGGGCCAACTATTGGCCTCAGTTCTCCGAAGCAGGTTTGGGCTGGCAAATTTGTTGAACTGCCTGGCCTGCGCAGAGCGGGGGAAAATTGCACGACCATCAAAAGACGCAAGGAAAGCTTATATCGCCCAAGAAACCGATGTCGCATCAAGTCAAAAAAGTGTAGCAACGCTTCAAAAACAGTTGTGGGTCTGGACTCACAGAACACGGCTCAAAGCGAGCAGAGGGTGTTAGAGAACTAGGTCCATTGTTGGAGTGCCAAATTAATTGTTAAATATTCTATCCAGAAATCTAAGCTATGGTCCTTAGTTGTCCGGTTTTTCATTTTTTTATTCTTTTATTTTTCTGACTAACTAACTAGCGGGAAATTTATGTCCTATTACGCGGAAGGGCTGGATCGGTTTCCTGAAAGTTGCAACCAGACTGACCGTTCACACTTCAACTCTTCATTTAGGTTCCCCAATTTGAGTAAAACTCGGCTTCCCAGATGTCAGTACTCGCCGCTACTCGAATGCCGCCATCAACATAAAAGCTCCTGCGGATATTAAATAGGTGCTACTTCTACTGGCATGGCCCGCAGAGAGCAGCAAACCGGGGTGTCTAAGGTGTTGTCTGTCCACCTTTGAGCCGACTGTACCAACGACAGCGCCATTCCTTACGTGGCTGGTGAATGGCGAATAGCGTGTCAAAGCAGTCTGTGCAGATGTTTTGGGTCGGATCACAAAATTGAATATTGCCAAAATATCAATAAAAACTCTTCTATTACAAGCCAAATGAATGTAATCAGATAATATTTCTTAGCATTCGACGGTAAAAATCTTGGATATTTCGGAGTGTGAGACACACGGTGCCTTAGATTCAATGCATTAAGTGTAACGCACCCGAACACAGATCG